GGTTTGGCTCAGTGGTAGAGCATCGGTCTGCGGACTGAAAGGTCCCAGGTTTGATTCCGGTCAAGGGCATGTATATTGGTTGCGGGCACATCCCCGGTGGGGGGGTGCAAGAGGCAGCTGGTCGATGTTTCTCTCTCATCGACATTTCTAGCTCTCTATCTCTCTCCCCTTTCTCCCTTCCTCTCTGTAAAAAAAATCAATAAAATATATATTTAAAAAATTAAATATAAAAGTTTAAGTTTGCTATTGCTTCTTGCAATATGGCAAACAAGGTATTCTGTTTAAATTGCATTCTGCTTAGCCTGGCCAGTGTGGCTCAGTGGTTGAGTATCAACCTGTGAACCAACAGGTTATAGTTCCATTCCCAATTAGATCATCTCCCTGGATTGCTGGCTAGATCTCCAGGATGGGGTGTACAGGAGGCAGCCCATCAATGTTTCTCTCTCATAATTGATGTTTCTGTCCCTTCCTCTCCCTTACTTTCCGAAACCAATAAAAATATTAAAAATAAATAAATAGCACTCTGTTTAGAATGTAGAAATTCTAGATAAGAGTCAACAAATTACATTGATAATATATTTCTGAGCTTAAAGTAAGCTCAATCCACCCAAAGCCAGAATGAAAAGAGAATTAAAACCCAGTAGGAAACAGAATTGAAAACAGAGGTGGAGTCATTTTTTATATCAAGAAATAAAATGCCAGGGCCTTTGGCCCATACAAGACAAGGAAACTGAACTTGGATCCCAGAAAAAGCCAGATCTCTCAATGCTGTACCCTCATTGACATGGTAGAATCTATCTTGTGGCAAAATGAGCTCAGAGGGAAATCTTGGGCCAGACAATCCCATTGCTCATATAGCCTAGAGAAATGCTCGGATTGCGTACATGCTCCAAGACACATGTACAAATATGAAAATAAGCCAAATGTCTAGAATATTTTTAATATTTAATAGAAAATGGACAGTATTAGAAATAAGCAAACTACAGCCCCATTATCAACATGGATGAATCTTACAAACATAATGTTGAGCAAAAAAGCAAGTAGAGAAACATGTTTTTAATTTAAAATACATGCAAACTAAAGAATGTGCTTTAATCTAGGCATACATACCTGTGAACAATAACCATGACGATGTTCAAAGGAATGATAAAGTCTGCTTGTATTTAATTCCGGAAGTGGAGAGGAAATGGGAGTGTGAGGAGTGCATGGATGGCTTCAAAGTTTTAATAATATTTTATCTCTCAAGCTGGGTGTTGTTTTACTAACATCTGTTTATGTTCTATGCTCAATTCATTTATTTGCTCCACAAAGATGTATTGATCACCTACTATATGGCAGGTTTAAGGCAATTGGAACATCGCTGAACAAAACAGATGAAAAATCACTATCTTTGTGGAGCTTCAATGTTCTAGAGGAGGAATACAAAAATAAATTCAATATATTACTAGTATAAGTAAAAAAATATATCAAATCCATTTATTTAGTACCTCAGAAGGAAAGGTGTAGCAACCTAAGAAGGGTGAATAGTACAGGTTATAGAAGGAACATTCATTCTGAACAATGTAGGCTAGGAGATCTCATTGAGGTGCATTTTAGCAAAAACTTAAAGGAAATGAGAGAGTATAAAATATGTTGAAGAAAAAAAAACACATTTTGGCAGGTTCAAGAGCTAGTGCAAAGCCCTAAGGCTGGGGCAGCCTAGAGAGTTCATGGACTAGCCAAGATGACCACATATATGGCTCAGAGTGAGTTAAAGAGAAAGTGGCAGAAAATGAGGTCAGGAATGTCATGGATGGTGGCCAGAGATATTCTAGGAACTTGAAAGCAAATGTAAGGATTTTTATTTTTGGTCTGAGTGAAATGGGGAGCCAATGCAGGACTTTGAGCAGAGAATTGACATATTTTGACTTACTTTTTAAAGCATCTGTCCAGCTGAGGTCTGAAGAATAGTGTGAAGAATAGGCTGTGTGGGGACAAGGATAAAAGTGGGGTAACCACTTAACAGGCCACTGCAGTAATCAGGGCAAGAGATGACGGTGATCTGGACCAAACTGGAAGTACAAGAACTGGTGAGAAGTAGTCAGATTTCTCACAGATGCTGAGATCACACTGGTGGATGCTAAAGCGGAGGGGGATTGGAAGACCAAGTGAAAAGGGCAAAGGGATTGAGAAGTACAGGTTGGCAGTTACAAAATAGTCATGGGTATGAAAAACCAGCAAAGGGAATATAGTCAATAATCCTTTATAATAAAGAAGAAGGCAATATTCAAATTGACCCTCATGTCCTCGCACAAGTTGTGTCGACCCCCCCCCCCCAATGTGGTCAATGATGGCTGCCACAAAATGGCTAGCAAGGGAGGGCACTTGGGGGCAATCTGGACGGCAGGGGAATAGTTAGGCATTAATCAGGTTGGTAGTGGGGTGGTGAGTGGATGATCAGGCTGGCAGGTAGATGAGTGGTTGGGAGCCAGCAGTCCTGGATTGTGAGAGGGATGTCTGACTGCCGGTTTAGGCCAGATCCCTGTGGGGTCCCAGATTGGAGAGGGTGAAGGCTGGGCTGAGGCACAAACCCCCCAAGTGCATGAATTTCATGCAACGGGCCTCTAGTATTGTAATAACTATGTATGGTGCCAGGTGGGTACTGAAAATATCTGGGAGAACACTTTGTAAAGTATATGATTGTCTAACCCCTATACAGTACACCTGAAACTAATACAAAATAACGTTGAATGCAAAATAACATTGAATGCAGACTGTAATTGAAAAATAACTTTTTTAAAGTAGCCAGATTCTATTTTAAATTTAGAGACAACAGAAACTCTCGATGGACAGAACATAGAATGTGGGAAGAAGAAAAAAGAAAAAGAGTCCAGGAAAACTCCAGTGTTTGGCATGGGCAAAAGAACGGAGATGTCTTCAATTGACTTGGGGAAGAATGCGGTGTATCAGTTTGTTAGGGCTGCCATAACAAAGTATCACAGGGTGGGTGCCTTAAACAACAGAAATTTATTTTCTCATAGTTCTGATATGAAGATATCAGCGGTTTTATTTTCTTCTGAGGCTTCTCTGCTTGGCTTTTAGATGGCCGCATTCTATGTGTTTACATAGTCTTTCCTCTTTGCATGTCTTCTATTTCCCTGTGTAATCTCAATCTCCTGGTTTTATAAGCAAACCAGTTAGATATTGGATTAGGGCCCACCCCTATGACTTCATTTTACCTCATTTTCCTCTTTAAAGACCATGTCTCCAAATATAATCATGCTCTGAGGTACTGGAGGTTAGATCTTTCACATATGAATTGGAAAAGGGGACACAATTGAGCCTACAACAGTGGGTTAGTAGGTTTGGGGATGGAAGATTAAGAAGTTTAAATATCCATATTATTTTAAGATATTCTGTACATCTATCTAGAGGTATTGAGTAGGCAGTGTGAAAGATGTGTCTGGAATTTAGATAAGAGAGAACAGCTCAACATATTAATGTTAGGTTGTCAGCAGTGAAGTTAGTCATGAGACTTGAGATTATGGATAAGTAGACAAGAGTAAGTGGACCAAAGTTGGAGCCATTTGGCTCCCTAAGAGTAAATAATCAATGATAAGCAGGATCCTATCAAATGAAACTGAGGGAAGATTATAAGAAAATAGAATAAACCATGAAAAAAATTAAGAAGTAGAAGAAGAGAGAGAGAGAGATCAGACATAGTGAGTATCGCTGATAAGTCAAATAAGATGATATCTAAGAATTGGTCACTGAATTTGTCAGTATGAGGTCACTGGTGAAATGGATTCGTGTGATATTAGTGACATGGTAGAGGACAGGAGCCTGAGTGCAATGAGCTTCAGACAGAATAGAATCAGAGAAATTGAAGTCAGAGTAAAGATAATTATTTTTAAGAAATTTCATTCTAAAGGGGAGGAGATGAGGAATATGGGATAAAGAGAAATTTTTTATTTTTAAGAAGGAAAAATAAATCGTATATATGTATGCTGATGACAAAGATCCCATAGAGAGTGGAAAATGGATGATATAGGAAAGAAAAAAGAATTTCTAGAACAATTTCTTCAAGTAAATTAGTGAAAATGCAACCTACCAGATAGAAAAGAGAAAAAGTAGTAATAGACATATATATATTTATACATATAAACTTTGTTTAGACTACATATATCTATATGATATATTAATATATATTTATTTACATATATATTTCAGATTTAATTATATTATATATATACTTTATATGTAATACATATAATATAAAAGGACATACGACAATATATATTTAACGTATATATAATGTGTTTATATATTACAATATATGTTTATTTACCTACTAGAAGCCCAGTGCATGAAAATTCATGCACTGGAGGGGGGTCCCTCAGCCCAGCCTGCCCCCTCTCACAGTCTGGGAGTCTTCAGGCGTGGAAGGCAACCTGGCAATCAGACACCCCCATCACATCTCTGCTGCTGCCACTGCTGGCAGCACAAGCCTTAGCTGGCCCTAGTTACCTGAGCCTCCAGTAGCCCTGGGCAGCTGGGCAGCCAACATCTGATGCTTGCCTCTGCTTGGGGCTTTGGCTGGGCAGCTGACATCAGAGGCTTGCACGCACTTTGGGTTGGCCCTGGGCAGCTGGGGGCTACGGGAACTGGGGGACTGGTAGCCTCCATTTTGTGGCTGTGGGCACTGCCATCTTTGAGGGAGTGGCAGTGAATTAACATATTCCCTTCTTATTGGCTATGGGCACCACCATCTTTGTGAGGGCATGGTAGTCAATTAGCATATTCCTTCTTTATTAGATAGGATATAAGATATTTCAGATTTAAGTCTCATTTAATTAGTAACATTTTGCCTGCCCCTCTCTCCATTCCCCTTTCTTAGAAAATTCAAAGTAGGTGCTTCTGGAGAGGGATGTAGGCTGCCAAATGACCAGAGTGATAAAGATTTAATTCACAGCCAAAACCGGTTTGGCTCAATGGATGGAGCGTCGGCTTGGGGACTGAAGGGACCTGGGTTCGATTCCGGTCAAGGGCATGTACCTTGGTTGCGGGCATATCCCCAGTGGGGGGTGTGCAAGAGGCAGCTGATCGATGACTCTCTCTCATCTCATCGATGTTTCTAGCTCTCTATCTCTCTCCCTTCCTCTCTGTACAAAATAAATAAAATATATTTTTTTAAAAAAGATTTAATTCACAGTGGTTTATAATAAATGGTCCAAATATAATCATGTGACCGCTTAGTGTCCTTTTCTGAATTTTAAAAATAGAATCTGAGGAAAGCTACTTCTTTTCACCTTGGTCACAATAACACCAGGCTGTAAGCTCAAGGCTTTCTGCCTTATTGACAAGCTCTTCAATTAAGCCCCAAAAATGTCAAAGAGAGGAGATAGAGAAGAATATATTACATTGCTTGTGTCCTGTCCTTAAGGTCATTTTTTTAAAAATAACAATTTACTACCACTGCATTTTATTATTGTTTTTAATATATATTTTTTATCGATTTGAAAGAGGGAGAGAGAGACAGAAACACCAATGATGAGAGAGAATCATTGATTGGCTGCTTCCTGCACCCCCACACTGGGGATCCAGCCTGCAGCTCGGGCATATGCCCTGACCAGAAATGGAACCCATGAACTCCTTGTTCATAGGTTGATTCTCAACCAATAAGCCATTCTGGCCGGGCATCCTTAAGTCATTTCTACAGTCTTCCGCAGTAACCCAAACTGTGAGTCTCCTTTTGGGTTTAAGCTAAAAGAGGTTAGTCAAGGTATTCAAGCACCTACAAAACTGAAACAAATCCTATTTCTGATTTTTTTATTTCCATCATAATATTTGTTCCCTGTGTTTCATCCCCATTAAATTACTTATAGTCATAATTAACCTTCACTCTTTCTCTTTTCTCATACCCAACTTCCTAATAATCAACTAATTCTTAAGCCTTAGTGTTTCCTGAGTCAGATCCTCACCTCAGTCATTCTAGTCCAAGCTGCCCTCATCTCTTAACTTATTGAATGGACAAATGAGTCTTGATTCCTAACATTGTTTCTAGGTTTATTCTACCTGGAGTTCTCCATCTACTCAGCCAAAAATGTCCCCTCTACTAGGCATTGGATTCTGACTTCTCTCACATCAAACCCTTTCAACCCCTTTTATATAATTTGCTTTATTTTTGCTCTGCTACAGTTATTTGATATCTCTTATAGGGTGATAATCATTACGGTGAGAGCAGTTCTAGTCAACATTGTTGCATCTACAACAGCTTGAATATCCTATGTTCTAAGTAAGTATATACTTATGTTTTTCTATATTTAGATAATAGAATTTGACAGGGACAATATTAAGAGCTATAAGTCATAATATACTCTACTATTACTTGTAAAGTGATTTTTGGAAAATTTTGGGATTAGTAACAATTAGTGATGAAAAGAGATGAGAATTAATGCCATGTGGTGCCCTATATTTACATCATTTTATGCTCCATTTTCTATTCAAAATCCTGATTAAGACTAAAAAAAGTAAGCAATAATGAAAGAAAAGAATTCAGAAATGTGGCAATTCAGTAAAGAACCTGGGTATGCCATAATTTGGGGGCTATTTTTTTGTTTTGTTTTGTAGAAAAAAAATATCATCATTACCTCTGTTCAAGATAGTCTTCATTAACAGAAACACATTAGATATGATATCTCAATGTAATTGTCCACCTAGCAACTGATACCCTTGCCATATAAATATTGTCTGATTTTGGAAATGTATTTGATTAGATAAGGGCTGCTGCTATGAGGCTTCTAGGTTAATTGTGCCTATTCACAAAAAAAACACCATTGTTTATTTTTAAATTGTTGCTAAAAGTTTCTGGGTTTAGTATCAAATTTATTTTAACACAAAAATGCTATTTATCATTTTTAGTTAAGCGCTGATAGAGAGCCACCACCACACATCAATACTTTTCACACCTTGAACCATATTTTGACATGAAATGAAATCAACATGAAATGACAAAGATTAAACTGCTAATGATTGCCTGAATAAAACCATATTTTCAGCTTTTACATTCATACCAATCATTAGAAGACCCTAACTGAAAGGAACGCTAGCCCGTGATCATACGTTTTCAAATGGTGAAACTAATAAAATACATTATCCCGTTAACCTATATACTAAGAAATCCCCAATGCATGCTAAATCTATTAGCTTGTTGCAGCTACAACAATGAAAGAGCAGCACCATTACACTAATAATGCCATATCACCTGCCTGCCATGTAATGCTAATACCGGATGTTGTGTTCCTGAAGTGAACAAAATGGGAATTTTGTTCTGTGATTATGGAATGTTATGTCCCATTTGGATGATCTTCTTTGGGCTCATTTTTTACCCGGAAATAATAAAAGCTTTGCATGAATAACCTAGGAGAGACCACAGTCTTTGGAAACTAACTTTTTATTACTGCCAAACAAATCTCTTTTAAATATGTTCTCTGTGAGGCATTCATGACAGCCATTGGCCAACTGGATCTCGGGTTATGCCTGGACACTTTCCACATTGCACGTGGTTATCAATTTGAATTGTGTATCAACTACCCATCATATTTGGCACATCTGTACTTAACATTGGCATTAATTTTACCCTATTGTTCTAATTGCAGTACTTTCATGTAATGACACCATTCAATTCACAGATGGTACTGGTGGGGGGCTTTCCCCAAAAAAATATAATGTAATATTAATTTGGAATGTGAGAATGCCAAAAATAAGGGCTTCATTGATTAAGTTATCTGAGCTGCTAAACAGTTGAACATTTGCACTAAATAAGAAAAACTGGGAATGAGAACAGCAGGTTTCAATACCAACCTACTGCAAATGTTTTGTTTTTTTATTATGGTCTACGGGTTTCATAAGATTTATCTGTTCACAAACAAATGTTGACAAACTCCACAAAAGGAAAATTAAAACTAATTTTCAAAACAAAAAATTAATTTTTTGTTAAACTTATTGGGGTGATATTTGTTAATATGATTATACATGTTTCAGGTGTACATTGCTATGGTACAACATCTGTATATTGCACCATGTGCCCCCCATCCAAAGTCAAACCATCTTTTGTGATGAAACCATTGGGTGGGTTGAGACATCTTCAGTTTAAATTCATTTAATTTAAATTATTAAAATTTAAAATTAGCTGAAGCCAGTTTGGCTCAGTGGATAGAGCATTGACCTGTTAACTGAAGGGTCCTAGGTTCGATTCTGGTTAAGGGCATGTACCTTGGTTGCTGGCACATCCCCAATGGGGGATGTGCAGGAGGCAGCCGATCGATGTTTCTCTCTCATCCATGTTTTTTGGCTCTCTATCCCTCTCCCTTCCTCTCTCTCTGTAGAAAATCAATAAAAATATATTTTTAAAAAACTAAAATTATTTAAGGTATTATCACAGATTTTATAACATCTTTCAAAATATTTTTCTGGAGTATCACTCACAATTTCCTATGACATCATAACTTAATGCCTCTTACAATTAGTATTTTATAGAATCAAATCAGGGGAAAATTGGGTAACTTTCCAAAGACCACAGCACCCCTCATTGATGAAGGGATGACTACAAAGCAGATTGTTACTTTTCAGTGGAATTTTGTTTTATGAGCCACTGGCCATTTGGTTGAGTGAAAAATTACTACCAGCCCAGATAGCATGCTCAGTGGTTGAACCAGAGATCACGGTTCGATGGTCAGGGCACTTGCCAAGATTGTGGGCTCAATCCCCAGTGTGGGGCATGCAGGAGGCAGGGGATCAATGATTTCCTTTCATCACTGATGTTTCTATCTCCTCCACTCCTGCTTTCTCTTGAAATCAATAAAAATATTAAAAAATAAGTAAACAAATAATAACTATCATATTGTTTTAACAGGAAACAGACTATATTTCCAATAAGGTGAGGGGTGGTGAGATGTTAGCTTTGGAATGGGGGGAAGCTGGGGGAACATATTAAGCCAAAAGAAAAACTAGTTTTAGTAAGTGACAGCGAAATAAAAATAAAAGCTGAAGGAGGCATCTGATTGCATAATGAGCAAAAATCCCAAAGGACTATGCTACTAATCACTGATGTACTTTAGTGAAATACAGAAATTCAGGATCCCAATGAGCTAAGTGAATTCTAACATAGCTGTTTAATGAGGCAATGGGATTGTGGATTCATTAATTTTTTTATTTTTATTTTTAGTAGACTTGCATGGGACTGAGGGGTCCCCGAGATAGAGCTTGATGTATGAGCAACACCTGAAGAAGACTGCAAGCCGTCAATGTCCTGGCCTTCCTCTAGGACTGTTGCCAGGCACCATGAGAAAGAGACTGCTGGCTGAAGCCAAAGGAACTACTAGTTTTTAAAGGAGGTTTTAGTCTTGAGGGTCATAAGCAGTACTTCTCTGGTATACAGGGGACAAAGTTCTCCCCACAAAGTTCTGGGTAGAAGACAGAGTGACGGCAGTTCAACGATGATGTAAGAAATGCTGCTATTTGGCTCTATACCTGTTGACGGTATTGGAAGTATTAGCCCTTGCCCTAGGCTGTGGTTGGCAAACTGTGGCTCGAGAGCCACATGTGGCTTTTTGGCCTCCTGAGTGTGGCTCTTCGACAAAATACCACGGCCTGGGCGACTCTATTTTGAAAAAGTGGCGTTAGAAGAAGTTTAAGTTTAAAAAATGTGGCTCTCAAAAGAAATTTCAATCGTTGTCCTGTTGATATTTGGCTCTGTTAACTAATGAGTTTGCCCACCTCTGACCTAGGGAAAAGTGATGGGATCTCACCCTGAGGTAGTTTCTCAGTAGAAGACAGGAGAATGCCTGAGAACATTAGAGCATTATGTCTGAATACATCTGAGACACCCCAAAGTTCTATCAGACGTAACTGAAGAGGATTACAAGGGTGAACAATGAGCTTGTTCATCAGTTTACAGTTGTCCCCCTTCTCTGTAGTTTCACTTTCCATGGTTCCAGCTACCCGTGGTCAAGCATGGAGTGAAAATAGTAAATGGGAATTCCAGATATGCAATTCACA